TTTATAAATTACTATAATTTTGTAATGTGGTTAAAACATCTTTGTAACTTTTGTATATCAATATGAAAATAAACAAGCGTTCAAGTTGAATGGCTTGGATCAAATGCCACCTCAAATTGGTATAGAATACTAAATGATTTTTTTAAATCCCAATTCCTTAAAAAGGAGGTCATAAGAGATTTTCAAAAGAGTGTTCTACAAGTGTGCGATAGTGCATATGATGAAGGGTAAGCTGTACTAAAAAAAGGAATGTGAATTGCCCTATAACACTATGACGTCACATCAAAACAATCTATTGTTTTAACGCTAAGGATCAAGGGGAAAGGTGGTAACAGATAAATGTTGTACTAAATATCCCGAACGAAAGAAAATTTCGCCTAAATTCCTATCATTCTTGCCCATGTAAACAAGCTGTGACGTCATAATGTTATAGGTCAAATTAAACATCTGGGATGTACTTTCTCAACTTAAAGCAGTATTCAAGTTAAATATATTTGAACATGTGAAATAGTGTTTCGTCTGACTTCCAAGAACTGAGAAGTGAGTTGTATTAACCAAACTTGAGGTGTTTGGATAGACAATGAAACACTTCAAGTGCTAGATATTACTTCTCAAGTATTTACAGGCGTTTACATTGCTACGCGGCCACCCCAGACAAAAATCGCGAGTAATAATACAAGTATTATGAGCCACACTCACCGGGCCTGTCTGGGCCTACCCAAACGCGTGTAAATGACGTTAACTTGTTTGATTGACAGCAGTCTATTGCAAAGTGCATGTCGCGATTTTTGTCTGGGGTGGCCGCGTAGCAATGCAAACGCCGGTAAGAATCCCCAGGGAAATTCAAAGCATAAGCTGCTCATTTTTTATGCTAATTAAGATCACACTTCCAAACATCCTTTTGTCCACATGAATTATTAATGAGTTTGAGAATGTTATGCAAACTCAGTTGCTGCACTGAGGTGTAACTGCAAGCCTAAATTCTGTTTTTCACTTCCTTCATTTGCAATTATCAGTCTTTACATTTTATATTTTTTAATAGCAGCAGGGAAGGGCCAAATTTCAATGGGGAAACTCTCAATTATTGAGTTTTTGTAAATTATGTATGTAAGAATATATATAGACTATATATGTGTACTGCAGTTATAATGTATCTAATTGAGCTGATCTGTGCAGTATATTATGGTGATCAATTTGTGTAAATTGTTGTAAAAAGCATTTTCGTTTTTCCTTGTAGTATTCTCAATAGCATACCAACTGTTTCGTATGAGTTTCCCAATGGCTACAACAACTCTTATGGCTTGGAGAGATTTAGAATCTGTGAAGGTCTCTTCGATCCTTCAAATGTTAAGGTACTGTAAGTACTGTAGACCCCTTGTAGCACGTCGGAATGCAGCTCAATTTGGAGGGCAAATCAATAGGTTTCCAATTCTAATGAGATTGAAATTCTGATAGAATTGATAGAAAATGATAGAAAATAATGGTTTTGACAATGTTTTGGCCGTGTTGCCATAGCGACTTAATTTGGTACTCCTATGGAGTACAATTAACGCTATARTCGTACTCCTCTTGACCAATAAGAATCGAGTAACTTTGATGAGTGTTCTATTTGGAAAGGAATATTAGATTTACCTGTGGGTGGAGGGGGTAGAGGGGTACTTGTGGATGTTTTTGTGCCCAGTATTATTATGTGGGAGAGGGAATTCTGAGATACTGGGAATCAAGGGTGGTGTAGTTATAGTGCACTTCTTTACCATCATCATTGAAATCATCATCATCATCATTATCACCAACATCACCATGATGAACATCTTCATCATAACTATCATCATCACCTTCAGCATCATCATCATCATCACCACCATCAGCATCATCACCACCATCAGCATCATCACCATCATCATAACCACCATAACCATCATCAGCATCACCACCATCATTAACATCACCATCACCACCATCATTAACATCATCATCATCACCACTACCACCACCATCATTATGAGTAACGAACAACAAGCTAGGGTGTGTGCCTCCTCCCCAGGCTACCCCATATGTTCTGTTGGGATCCCTGTGTTAAGTTATATGGCAGAGAAAAGCCAAGCAAAAAGAGCCAAGGAGATGCCTGCAGAGAAGGGTACTTGGGTGGTACAGTAATAAACCTTGTTGCCTCATTTGGTCTAACCAGCCAATTGATATACAGTATTTGTATTATGCAGGGTATAGAAGGCAGTACAGCCATGGGTGTGACACAAGTCGTAACAACTAGTGTTGGAATGACAGATATTGACATTAGAGCAGTAAGTAGATTACTGAGCCCTCTTTAGCTTGATCGCAATGTTTTCCCAATTTAGACATGCCATTCTCTTGAGTATTATTTCTTTGTTTAACAGTTGCGCATGAGAAGACACATGAATATAGATATGACTCAAACAAAGAATCTTATACTCAAGACCACGTGTCATTCCCTAAAGTATTATTTCTTTTTTTAACGGTTGCACATGAGAAGACACATGAATATGGATACAACTCAAACAAAGAATCTTATTCTCAAGAGAATGACACGTGGTCTGAAATGTGAAAACATGCCCAAGCTGAAAGAGTGTATCCAATTTCTATCTAAAGTCCCAAAGAGGGTTTTGAACTAAATAATAGACCACTTCGGCTTGAGAATAAGAATCTTTGTTTGAGCTATATCCATATTCATGTGTCTTCTTGTGCACCTGAGCGTAAACCTTAAACAAATGATACTCTAGGGAATGACATGTGGTCTGTAATGGGAAAACATTACGTCAGAGCCGAAGAGGTCTGTACAGTACCCACAGTATTGTACCCTTTCTTATTGTACGTACCACCATTGCGTTTATTCTTGCAGGGTCTGTTTGGTAGTGTGATAGTTACTGGTGGTAATACCTTATTATCTGGCTTTGTCGATAGACTGAACAGAGAGCTTCTATCTAAAACCCCACCGGTATGTCATAATATGTATTTACATGTACTGGGCTCGAATTTGTAAAAGGGGTTATTTTTTTACAAAAACGATTACTTTTTTCCCACTGTGATTCTATTTATCGCTTTCTATCTTTTGTAGTTGGCTTATTTCTTTGCTTGTAATCTTTGTAGCTAGTTACCCTCTTTTTTCATCTCTCCCTTTCCTTTCCTTCCCTTCCTTTTTTCTTTCTATTGCTTTCTTCTCCTTTCCTTTCCTTTCCTCTCCTCTCCTCTCCTCTCCTCTCCTCTCCTCTCCTCTCCTCTCCTCTCCTCTCCTCCTCTCCCTTCTCCTATTCTTCCTTCCGTCTTCCTTTCTCTTTGTTCATTCTTCAATTCATTGTTGTTTTTGCTAATCCACCATATATTTATAACAGAGTATGAGACTCAAACTTATATCCAATAACTCATCTGTGGAGAAAAGATTTAATCCATGGATTGGTGGCTCCATATTAGCATCCTTGGTAAGTTATATGGCCTCTAGCAAAAAACTTTTTTGGTTTTCTCATATGTGCATTACAGCACAATCATATTCCAAGAATAGAATTATTTACCTTATTTTCCATTTCAGACCACGTGTCATTCTCTAGAGAATAAGGTCTTTAGCTGAAGTTGTATCCATATTCTTGTATCTTTTCATGTACAACCGTTAAGCAAAGAAATAATACTCCAGGGAATGATAGGTGGACTGAAATGGAGTAAAATTATGCCCAGATAAAGAATTCTATTCGCGAGCATTTCAATAATGATGATGATGATGATAATGATAATAATAATAATTAAGAGGAAATTTTTTTCAATAATGAGCAATAATGGCAAAAAGCGCCAAAAACTAGACTTTCGTATGAGTTTTGATCCCAATTTTCGTTTTGGGTTAACACTCAAAACCTTTTTTTAACAGTTAGAAACTGATTTACTATGATAAAATGCCTGTTTGAAGCGGTATTTTCAACTGTTCAAAGATGTTTTGTTGCATTTGTGTTAGAATGTTGCTTTGTCAGGCTTTTTTGTAGAAAATATATGGGGAATAAGTAAATGAAGGCCTAAACCTCATTTTTGAATAAAAATTTTGCTTTGGGTTAACACTTTGATTCCACTTTTATCGGTCATCTCCACTTCCAAACAAGTTAAACTTTCTGAATAACAAGATTTTAGCTTTGCACAACAGCCTTTCTTCGAGAAAATAGTTTTTGGCGCTCACTGCTTAAATACGAAAAGAATTCTCTCTTAATAAAAATTAATTAAATTTAAAAAAATTGATTAAATCATGACCCTATTTTCTCTTGTGTCCATAACATATGAACAAGGATATGGTGATTGACGTCTAATATACTGTCTACTGTCTTGCAGGGGTCGTTCCAACAAATGTGGATATCAAAGCAAGAATATGATGAACAGGGCAAAGGATGCGTCGAGAGAAAATGCCCTTAGACCATTATACACTCACTCTCCTTTGCTCACTGGGATTATAAATATTATACAGTACATCCTAGCATGAGCATCGATCGATGTGACATCTTCGTGTACAAAAAGCCATCTTAATGCCCCTTGCATGTGACGTCATAGCAGCAAAATTTATAAGACAAAACAAAAGAATTTCAATCTCCTGAGAATTGGAAACCTATTGTCATGTCCTCCAAATTGAGCTGCATTCCGACGTGCTGCAAGCGATTTATAGACATTTTTAGCTTTGTTTCTAATGTTTCCCCATTACAGTCCACGTGTCATTCTCTAGGGTATCATTTCTTTGTTTAATGCTTGTGCATGAGAAGACACACGAAAATGAATACAACTCTAACAAAGAATCTTATTCTCAAGGAAGTTACACGTTGTCTGAAGCATTACGCTCGAGGTAAAAGGGTCTATTACTGATTCGAGGAAGAACTAGGTGACCCAATGCCAAGAAAGAAAGAAAGTTCCTTAAGCCCCGTTTACACTGGCGATTTTTGTGGCAATTTTCGGAAATATGAAATATTTTGTCTCATCCTTCCAAAGAGGCATTCGTCTAGAAAAATCTTAGTATCCCAAATAAAACTTTACAAGTCAATTCTTTACCATTATTTATTATGGACAATATCGCAAAAATATCACAGCAAAAATCGCAAAAAAATCGCTAGTGTAAACGGGGCTTTATGGACGCCTTGTTTGTACTCCCCGCCTCATTGGCTAATGTAAAACTCCTAGGGTATATGTGACATCATAGCGCCCATCATAGTAATAGACCAGTTTCGAATTCCAAATTACCGCTGTGTGTCTTGATTACAGACTCATTTGCACAGGGTTAGCCTCGTATCAGTGTTTAAATATTCACAAATACCAACGGTAAAGTAAAGAATGCACAACTTCAACAATACGAGCACTTTGAAGCTCGACGGACCTTGACTGGAACACGTGAATATTCTGCACAAACTCGAGGCTAACCCTGTGCAAATGAGTCTGTAATCAAGAAACAGCGGTAATTTGGAATTCGAAAAGGGTCTATTAAGATAATAGTATCCCATCATTGTAAGCGACATCTCTTCTGTATCTATCTATCCACTGACGTGTATGTCTTGATAAAATAAATTATATATCGTAAAGTAGTTATATGCCCTAAAATAGTTTAAGGTTGTAGCTATTGTATAAGCAAATAGTAATTGCAAAATCATTGTCGGGCTACAAACATAGAACATAGAAGCTTAGACCAAAAGATATTCTGGGAAATGACGTAATTATCCTCTGATGTATTCATTGGAGATACAGTCGATCGATATCAAACGTGTTAAATCAAAAACAACGCGATAAAGTTGACGAAGAAACAAAAACAACAATTTCTAATCATAACAAAAAAAAACACTGATTAATTATCAATGGATTTGATCCAAATCTATTTTAAGTAATAACAAAACAGACAACTGATAACAAACTAAATCTGATAATCTTGGCGGCAGTGAATACAACGAACACAAGCAAAGTCGGCGTATCCGGATCACCCAATCATTGGACAGAACAGCACACTTCGAAAGCGATGAAGTGAAAATTTCTCTCAATTATACTTCGGATAGAGAAGAAAGCATTTCAAGTAATTTTTCGATACAGCATCAACGAATGCAAGCAAAGTCGGCGTGTCCGGATTACCCAATCATAGGACAGCGAGCAGCACATTTCGAAAGCGATGAAGTGAAAATTTCTCATAATTATACTTCGGATAGAGAAAAAAGCATTTCAAGTAATTTTTCGATTTTTAAAAAAAAATCCAAATATCTAAAAGTCAAAACAAAAGCAAACAAGCAAAAATAAAACCAAAATTCGGTGCTTCTTTAATCGAATCAACTTGGAAGTTTTGGCAACACCGTCCTTCCTGTCCAATGGGTGTGACAACTAAATACAACACCGAGAACCGGAGGCAAGAGACCATCTCGCTACAGGCAAACTTAACGAATACTCCAGTCTTAGGGCATGCAGTACCCACCATTTTAACAGCGCTCAGGTTTTGAATTACATGTGTAATAAATAACTTACGGGGGGGGGTAAAGAGTGTTCGGTGTTCGTTATTTATAACAGGACCAAGCGTTCTCTGTTGCTCAGGGTTAGCCGACACCAGAGAGATACGTCTACGCCTGCGTGCATTTCAGCACGTTTTCTAAGAATTTAGAAGAGTGTGAGTGAGAAAATAAGTGTTCGTTTTCTCCCAGTATACCAAAAATTTTGCGAGTATACTTTTGTGAGACCTAGATAATGTATTAATAAAGACAATATGAAAGGATTATCCTTAAGTTTCGAGTACTGACCCTAAGCTTTGCATTTTGTGAAGTCCAGTTATCAATCCATCAACACAGCGCGCGCGCGCGGTATTGGTCTGAGGCTGCAAGAGTATCTGGATTCTTTCAGGTCTCGATAAAATTGGTTTGTCAGGTATAAACTCGAATGACAATGTCTAGAATTATTTTTATTTATATCCCTTGATGGACAAAGCCTTTTTAATGTTACAATTATATTTAACATCTATAAAGGTGTTTATTTTCTGTTTGCCTTGAGCAATGCGTGTATTYATTAGTTAGGGGAAAATGCATGATAGATTTACAATTTCTTTTTCAGTATGAGTGGGTTTAATTCTTTATTGTAGGGACAACATTTTAGCTCGATGTAGGGAATCCAGACACGCAAAACTAAACTCAAAATGACTTTTGACACGTAGGATATGGAACATGAGATTAGGGGAAAAAAGTAAGATTTGAAGCGGAATTCCAGGAAATACATGGAAAGTTAAATCCAAGTAAAGGTATGGAACACTGAATCCWAGATGTACAATCTGGAATCCAAGTAGTGGAATTGAAACTAAAAATACGATTTTGGAATCAATAATTCCACCTTCAGATTGCAGAATCCTAAATCGCCCTGGATTTYCTTTCATCGAGGGAGACAGTTGATATTTTTATCGTTGTTTTTACACATTGCTCAAATTTAAATCTAAATCTAGTGTTGTTCAGTTTATTCATGTCTATGATCGATCCAATCAGATACTCAGGTTTAACACACAAAGCACGAAGATGATACTTAGACTACCAACATTGTTAGGGCATAACCAGTCACTACYTTAGATGTTTCTCCAGTTGCACGAACGAACACGGTGGCTGTTTTTCCTCTGTCACCTACGCTGGCTCGTACACGCACCACGATGGTWTTTGCTCCTTTGGAACGCACCGTCTTACTGCTGGTAAAGCTATACACCAAACCAAGGTTGTCCTTCGCAGTGATCGTGAATCGTTCGGTTACCTTCCCTGAGTTGTGGAGCACCAGGAAGGCGTAGGAAGTCCCACCGGCTGGGATGGTTTGGTCATTTTTGGTGTACAAGAGAGTAAGRACAGCGCTWTTGGCTTCGATGACCGTGCGAGAGTTGCGCTTAAATGGGTATCCGCCCTTGGTTTTTCCTTTTAGGAGAAGCTTGAATGGGCCTGTTGGTGGTGACATTGTGGCGAGGAAGTGAACTCCACTTGCACCTTGAGGTGTAAAGCTGTCAGCGTCTCCGATTAGGTTGCCGTTCTTGTCTATCAAACTAAGCGCGAGTGAGCTTGACTGTAGTTTATCCACTCCTGTTATAGTCACAATTGCCTTTGCTTTTACACCTAGTCAAAGAAAAGAAAGCTGCCTGAATAAATGGATGGATGGATGGAGGGAAGGGGGCGGGGGGGAGGGAGTGAGGGAGGGAGGGAGGGATAGATATGATTATACGCAGAGTGGCATTTCATCCACACATGACTTAACTTGGTTAAGCATGATTATCGGTTTGAGGACATCATCCGCGCGGCACTCTTTTCAATTCTCACACAAGATCTGATCCTCATTAAAAGCAGTGTGAAGAAAGGGATCAAGAAATATCTTTCATTTTTAGCGTACGTCTCTTTCAGTGTCACTCATACTTACCCGTAAGTGGATAAGGCACAGAAATAGGCTCCCTGTTTCTTCCTGATGTAGGAATCATGATGAAGAAATAACTGAAGTCCACATTAGATTTGCTTGTTCCCTGGACATCGTAACTATGGGCTCCAGCTGAGGCGCTAACTGTCAGTTTCCATTGTCCTGGTGGAGGGTTTGTGATGTCGTAGATGTACCCCTTGCCGACACTGCAGTGAGATCAAAGAAACACGTTATATAAACAAAGGAATTGAAATTCACAATAGACTTCAAGGTCAGCCAATCGGATCGTCAGAATTGTCTCAATGTTTTATCCAATCAGATGACAGATATTCATATTAGCATAATTTGCTCAAAGTGTTACTGTAGCTGAAACTTACTTTAAAATATTACTTTTTTTTCAAAAGAAAATGCGGCGTTTCTTCCCCAGCATTTGAAATTAAAAAATCAATATTTTAAATAGAGATGCCCTAGGGAATAATACGCAAGAATAGGAATCTCATATTCCCATGGGAATGAAATTCTTTGTTTGAGTTGAATCCATATTAATTTGCCTTCTCATGCGCATTCGTTAAACAAAGTAAGTAATGATGGAGTTCAATATATTTTTCTCACCTTATTCGTACACTTGGATCAGACACCACCACCCCACTAGGCGTAGYMAGGGTAAYACCTGKGTTATYATTAGCAGCYCTCACAGTAATCATCACTGCATCTGTTATATCATCCACTGAAATTACATACACGCTATCTCCAGCTGCCCTCTTACGCCTCTTTCCAGGTCCATATCCAAAGCCACCCGATTTCAAACAGGTTTTTCCAACCAAAGACTTTTGTGCGAGGCCAGTAAGACTGGAGAGGCAACTGGCGGAGGGTAGATATATCATTTGGCCACAAGTCTTCTCGGCAAGTTCTTCGTACGGTTTATACGAATCCTGGCGACAAGGACGATTCCGAACAAAGAAATTGATGTTGAGTTCAAGCGAATAAGCCTCGTCGAGAAGTCTTTCCATGTTCTCTTTGTTGTAGTCTTTTGCAGTTGCATCGGTGAACACAAACATGGGTGAAGCAATGTTTGGGCCTGTTGTGAACGATTTAAAATGAGGGGATTTAGATGTATAGGTCTAAAAAGGTGACGTTGCAGTAAAACGCTTTCCTTTCAACACCGAACACTCCATTCTAGTTAAACCGTGCAGCACCCTCTAGATTATCTAATTGAGGACACCGCCGACTCGCAGATGGAGCCGTGAAACAACCTCTACTGGGGCTGATCTAAGCCAGGTCACTACTAAATCAAAGATTCAGAATTTCAATTTAGCGTATAAGTTTTTGCCGACAAAAGATTGGAGGAAAACTTGACACCTGGAGAAAACCCCTTGAATCAGGAAGAGAAGTAGCAAGCTAAGCTATACTCGCATTTGATGCGAATTCTAGGAATGGAATCCGAGAGCACGGCAGAGGTGAGAGGTGAGAAAGGTATAATATTCCTGGAAAAAATCTTAATTGAAAACTGGCTGCGCCCCCGAAAACTGAGGATGGTCGATAAATAGAGGTTGGTCGCTTAATGGAGGCTATATGCCCGACCAGCCTTACCTGCAGCGATTGCATCGAGCATTCCCGCGAATGCAAGTTCCGGGCAGTCGCCTCCGCCATGCGCACGCAGTTTCCCAATTTCTTTCACAAACTGATCCTTTTGGTCTGACGTCATAGTGGTTACTTTGGTAGGCGCTAAAGACCCAAGTAAATAAAAAAGTGTGGTTAAAAGAGATTGTTTAGAATTACAGAAAGTTTTTTGCATGCTGTATACCAAGAGTTTTCTATTTAAGCAATAGAAAACTTTTTTCGTGTTTACATAGCCTGATAGCAACACGAGGGGAGGTTGGGAGAATTCGAGACAGTTATACAAACCCGAGACGTATTTATTTTTCACAGAGTTATAAGCTAGAGAGTTATTTCCCATACATTGCCTTATGAACCGTCCTGTTATATGAGATTGGGCTTCCTGTGGAAGGACGTGTGTTGTAGCTCCTGAGGGAATTCTCTTTGCGGTGACCAACGAGAGATTGTCATGATATTACGATCAGAAAGACCTGCATGAGACCATAGGGTTATGCCTGTGGCCCTGACACAAGTCAAAATTTGGAACTTCGTCTTCAAAATACATTTTTGGGGGCGTTTTTTTCCTCGAAAGAAACTGTAAATTTTTAATTTTTGAACTTGTACYGGGAAAACACGAAAGTTGTGACGTCACAACTGTGTTTACATATCCTCATGCAAACATGGCTATCAACCAATCACAGCGTGCGTACTATTTAATCTATTTTATAATTCTTTATTTCACCTTTTTTTTTATTATTTTGCAATGCACTCTACATTTATGAGCAATGGATGACTTAACTTGCTACAAATAAAGGCGCTGTTAGTAGCCGCGCAGCTCATAATCATGATTAAATTGTTATTACGTAATTGATAAGCCTCCAAATGCGAAACAAAAACAAGTTTTATTTCATCATTGATTGGAACTTACTTGGGTCGTTGTATTGTGATAAAATATATTCCACATCGTAATCTCTTTTGGTGTTGATGATAGCAGTAGCAAGTGCTTTTGCAGCGTCAATAAAACCACCCATGCTTCCAGTGTCATCAATAACAAAAATCAGAGTCACATCTCCTTTAACATTTATGACTTTATCGAATACTTTCCCTCCAAGCTCTTTCTTTACGGCTTCAAGAAACTTCATGGCTCCTGTGAGTAAACTTCGCTTACGGCTTGGCGCAGAGGGCGTTAGTTTCATTGATGTGTACAGCCCAGATCCAAGAGAATCCAATGTAAATCTTTAAAGAGAAATATATATATAATTAGCTCGTTAGTTATCCATTTTCAAAAAATAAGAGATAGCAAATGGTTTCCAATTAATTTTAAAAAATTGTTTTTTTGAATATTTGAAGAAATACTTATTTTTTTACTTTATCGCTAGTTTTCATTTGGGATTTCCAAGTTTCAGGACCGGTACATGAAGTTTAACTTCGAATGGTGAAAATATTTCGCGAGTGAGCGCAGCGAGCTCAGTAAAATATTTTTCAACACGAGAAGATGAACTTCATATCTTCAAGCCAACGTGTAATTTTCTTTTTTATTATATAGACATATACACAAAGAAAAACTACGCAAGTGAATCAAAACAGGTCCAGGAAAACATCACAAGTGACGTCCTCGATATCCTCACTAGTGAAGATATGGAAAATATGCTACTCAGGTCCCTGATGTAGTTTGTACGAAAAATACATATACGAGTGGCGTATTTCCCAGTAAAACACTCATGTCTATATGATAAACAAACATTTTTTTTACCTTTTGCTGTTGTATTTGCTCGCCAGATCGATGTATTTCTTTATCCTGTCTATGCGAGCTTTGGTTGGACGATAGCGTTGAGATTTTGCAGCAAACACTGATTTCTCAAGTTCTCCGATAACGCCCATGAACTTGTTCGATGGAGTGCATTTTCCAGCTAATGGAAATATAAAACGAAATTAACCTTAGCTTTGGCGTGATGTCATGGTTACCATTTCATACCATGTGATTCTGAATAAATTTTTTTGGTATTTTCCTGTTTGCAGCCTACTCTCCAAAAACAAAAATTCTGATTTGATCTTTTATTTTTGTAACCTTGGAGTCGATTTTATCCATTAGTTTTAAATATTCGAAATAGCTTTTTTTCTGTATTTTCCTATTTACGAACCTACTCACCAAAAACAAAACTGAATTTGATCTTTTATTTTTGTAAACTTGGAGTCGATTTTATCCATTAGTTTTAATTATTCGAAATAACTTTTTTTTTTTGTATTTTACTTAGATCAGCCAAGAGGTTGCTTCGATGTGTGAGTTAGCCGTACCCTGACTTAGATCAGCCTAGAGGTTGTTTCAGGATTTGATCTGTGAGTTAGCCGTGCCCTGACGTAGATCAGCCCAGAGGTTGTTTCAGGGTTTGATCTGTGAGTTAGCCGTGCCCTGACGTAGATCAGCCCAGAGGTTGTTTCAGGGTTTGATCTGTGAGTTAGCCATGCCCTGACGTAGATCAGCCCAGAGGTTGTTCCAGGGTTTGATCTGTGAGTTAGCCATGCCCTGACGTAGATCAGGCCAGAATTTGTTTTATGGTTGATCAAAACTGAAGTTTGGTTTAAAAATTTTTTTAAATACCTTTTGGAGAGCTGCCACGGGCGTAAGTCATCATGGCCGAGCGAACTTCATTCATATGTTTTGTATAATCCTTTGCTGCTAAAGCAAATGCTGCGATCATACAAAGAGAAATAGCAAAGAACCGAAGACGTGCTCCTTGGACCGTCATTACGAGGTATAAGTTTTGAACGAAGATTGCAAAGAGCAGCGGTTAGGTGGACTCGCGAAGCGCCGGCATTGCCAAAAATCACAAGTCGAAAAACRCCAGGGGGGGGGTGGGTTTTTGGAGGTCGGTAACCCGCGGAACAGGGGGTCTTGCGTGATCCGCCGGCAGCGCGAAAGGTGCCTAACTGCTGCTCTGTTGGGGTCGCAAATGGAGGGAAAGATATTCTTTAGATATAC